GCAAGAGGTTAAAAAGGCCGTTCGGAGACATACGAGTCTTATAATCTTTGTCATCAACTATACTTTCTAAAATAGTCGCAACATCTTGTTTTGGCCTATTAAAGATTGCATTGGGGACAAGGGCAGTGGGTGACTGTTCTAAACATAAAAGACGTGGACTTTTCCTAAGAACTATGGAAGTCGATGGAGCTGCAGGTGTGCAAGGTTCAGCAGTGTGCTCTTCCACAGCAAACTCAGCTTGTTTCCTTAAAAAAACAAGAACACAAAAAACATAAGTTTAAAATTTTAGGTTAATAAATTTAAAGTGATGTGTGTTTGAGAAAGATAAGAACCAACCTTTTTTTTCCATGATTTTTTTTTCCACCTTCAACTTCCATGCTTTCAGATGCTATTAAATTACCTAAAGAATAAGGTCACTACATGAAAAGTCCAGAATACAAACTCACTCAAATTTCCTCTAAGCCTAACAGCACAAAAGCACAATATTAAAGTACTTGAGCAGTGAACATCCTAACATATATAAAAATTCAACCAAACCAGAGCTAAAATGAACCAAAACATGGCTCAAATTGAAGAGAAATGTATTAGAAGCAAAACTAAACAAAACCATCCAGTCAAAAAAAAGAGATATTAAGAAGCATGAAAATCATGCAAAAGATTTACAGCAGAGGAGCAAGAGATTGTCCTTGAGCTTGATCCCATCATGCAAAACATCAGAAGGATAATGCAATCAGGGTAACTTCTACTTCCCTAACTGTGCCTTTCAACTAAGACTTGAATATGATCTTTCTACGTATGATGCTATTTTGTTGCTAAAAATGGAAAGTGAGACGATTATCCTGTACTAACCTGTTTTGCTTTTGTTTCTTTGTTTGTTTGTTGGGATTATAGGTTGAACGACGGTGATCCTTTATCTGCTGATGACCAGACATACATTGTTAACAATGTTGTTGAATACCACCCAGATAAAGATGCAAAAAATGGGTCTGGAGTTGATCCCCTTTTTAATTTTAAAACTGTGCCAAACAACAATTTTAGTTACTGGAGTAGGAAAACACCTATCACCAACATACCTAATCCAGTTGTTTGAATTAAAATCCTACTGTAACATCCAAAGTATAACTAAAGAAATAATAACAAGGAAAAATGGGGGGGAAGGGGCTGGACCGAAGTCCAGACCCCATAGGGTCATACCCTGCTCTGTTTTTCTTTGCTGCTGCCCTGGTCGTGTTCTCCCCCTTCCTTCGCTGCTCGCTGCTGCGTTTTATAGGGGCTGGAAATCAGAGTTTCGTCTTGGATTAGGACTCCAAATTTGAGTTAGGAGGGGAGAAAAAAGTAATATTCAAAGATGATACAGAAGCAGCAGCAGGGGAGAAAAAATACCTTTATTAGTGGCGCCACTAAACCTGGAGAGAAAATCCAAAACCAAAGAGAAGATGCTGCGATAGCTTGGGGAGATAGCTGCGATAGCTTCAGCAATGGAGATTGGGGCTTGGGGAGATAGCTGCGATAGCTTGGGCGATGGAGATTGGGGAGTGATTAGGGTTTATTTGGGTCGAAGGAGAAAGATGAAGCTGGGAAAGAAGAGAAATTGATGGCGATTGGGAGCGAAGGAAATGTACGAAGAAGAAATAAGACTGGGCGAAGCGACAAAGAAGATGGCGGAAAAAAAGAAGACGGGCCAAGAAGAAAGAAGTCTGGGCCAAGGAGAGCGGAAAAAAAAGACTAAGAAGCGCTTGTCATCTGATGGGAACCGTCATCTTACCGAAACTCGTCATCTAACCGGAGTCAATCCCTATATATATATATATATGTATATATATATATATATATATATATATATATATATATTATATATATATATTATATATATATATATATATATATATATATATATATATATATATATATATATATATATATATATTATATATATATATATATATATATATATATATATTATATATATATAATATATATATATATATATATATATATATATATATATATATATATATATATTATATATATTATATATATATATATATATATATATATATTATATATATTATATATATATATATATATATATATATATATATATATATATATATATATATATATGATTATGGGGTTTCTAGAGAGAAGGGGGGAAGGGAGAAATTTAACCGGCGGTGCACTAACAACGCATTTCATTTCAGGCATGATGGTTTCCAGGGAATTTTTCAGAAGAATTGCAGATTTCAAACGAGTAGAACGCAATCGCCGGGGGAGATGCTTCTAAGAACACCAGAACCAGATGGTGGTCCAGAAATCGTTACCAAGGTCCTTTTAGAAGCAATTCCGGCGTTTCAATTTTGATTGAAAGCAAGGTATTTGAATTCCAGGCCTCAGACAACCTTATAATTTCTGAATCCAAGAATGGTATGTCTAGATTTCTTTCTATCTCGCGTTCTACTGCTCTTTGGCTTTCTGAGACCCTAAGCCACCAACCTTTGGCTAGAGAGGGTTGGGTTATTTCAAAATTTGAAGGGCCTGTGTCGGCAAAGTCCCACTGGGACTCAAACCATTTTGGATCTTTCGTTAGAATCAGCAGAGGAACCGATGGGGATATAGCTAATATTTGCATCCCAGTGGGACGGCAATTAGAAGGCATTAGGCTTTTTGTAAAAGCACTGAATGCAGCTCTAAAAATCCTGGAAGGGTATGAATCTGCTGAAAAGGTTCCCATGAGAGAAGAAGCTTCAATTTCTCAAGATTTAATAGACCAGATATTCCGGGTGGAGAGGATAGAGGATGAGCAACTGAGGTTCCCTTCCATATCCTCAAATCTACTGGAACAAGATGTTTTGCAGGGTTCTAGGATGCCTAGCCTCACAGAACAGGGGAAAAATGCAGATTCACAAGAGACTAAGGAAGATGGAGATGAAGAAAAGAAACTCCAAAAGTTATTTCAACCAGCTTTTGAGGCCTATTTTGAAACAATATTCAGGGCAGTGGAAAGCCAGATTCAAGAGGCTTTGGCGAAGACATCACTACTGGATCAACTCAAAATGGGACTTTTTCAAAATATGTCGGGGAAGACACTTAAAGCAACACGAGAGACGGTGAAAAGCATGGAAAAAGTGACCCTTGTCCAATTCGAAGATTCTAAATATCCAGCATTCATTTCTTGTTCCAAAGCTGATGAAAGGCTTGTGGCAGATTTTCTAACGGGGGATCAGGCTGAAGAGTCACAAACTTCAATTGGTTAAAGTTTCGAACCTATTATCTAATTTCTTTTATGCATTCAAGGGGAAAGGAAAAAGAAGTCCTTGGTATTTGCTTTAAATTTTTTCTGTCTTAAGTAGCTCAGGGGAGGGTCACATGTAGCTGTTTACTCTTGCACCATTTCCGGGGTTTAGAGATTGGGTTTTCAAGGTTTATTTGAAGCTAAGGCGTTCTGTCTCAAAGTGTGCCTAACGGTTCTGGTTAGAGAATGGGCTTCAGAGTTGGAGCAATTAATCCAACAGTAAACAGGAGCTTGTTTCTACATAAAATGTTACTGCTGGTGCTACTTAATTTCTGCAGCAACGTTCATCACTTGTACTAGCAGGTCCCAGCTTTGCTTTCAAGTTTTTTGACTTTTTCCTTTATAGACTGCAAAAAATGTTGAATGGACGGTACTTTTGGTGGGATCTTTGGGTATAATTATAAACTACACAAGGTGTGAATGGATGCACACGGCGAATTGGTTGCAGTTGGATGGGTGCATATTCAGCTACTCATTTATAATTTGTATCTGGCAGCTTATCCCTTTTAGTTTTGTTTCTTGGCAGCTTCCTCTTGTATTCCCTTTTTTGGTTTGGTTTTTCTTTTGGCTTGTTGTCGGGCTGGCCACTCCTCTTATCCTTTCTCTTTTTCTTTTAATAAAACTTTTCTTTAATAAATATATATATATATATATATATATATATATATATATATATATATATATATATATATATATATATGGGAAAACTAAATGTTTTCAAGAGAGTGTTCTTTTCATCCATAGAGCTTAATCTGTTCTCATTTCTACTCACTTGAGAGTTATTGTTGTGAGATTGAAGAAAATTGTTCTTGTTGTATAAGACTTATGTGACTTAAGTCTTGAGTGTGAAGTCTTGTAGAGGGCATATCTACGAGCGGTTGTGTCGAGGCTTGTGAGATTCAAGTTCTCGAGTTGTAAACGGTTTGTTAAGCACCCGTAAGCTTAACGGAAGTAGTGGTAGCTTCGAGAGAGTCTCTCGGGGAACTGGACTAGCCACGAGGTGGTGAACCAGTATACATCGGTGTGTTCTTTGCCTTCTCTCTTTTATTTCTGCTGCACTTACATTTATATTATTAATTCTGCGAAAATCAGAAATCATTCTCAATAACTCTATTCACCCCCCCTCTAGAGTTGCACGCCTTGTCTAACAAGTGCAAACTATCACACTAGCAAAAAAATAAAAGTACACATCTATGGTATATAATCTGGAGTATATTTTTTGATGTACAAGTAGCTTAATATAACTTGTACACCAAAAAGTGTATCCCAAATTCTACATCAAAGGAATATACCAATATTTTAACGATTCACACTAGCACGAAATGTTAGTTCAATCAAAAAATTTGTACTGACATTTTGTACAATTGTAAAACATTTTACTAGCACAAAATATTGGTGCATGGCTTCGAAATACCAAGTAAGATACTCATAATTTCTTGTGTACAAATATCATTTGGATAAAGCTATTTGTATCCCATTTATACACCGCAAGTATGCACCAACATTTTGTGTTGGTGTAATGCTGTTTTTTGTAAACACACTAATACTTTGTGTCAGTGTAAATTTTTGTTAAGACACCAATACTTTGTGTCCGTATGAACCATCAAAATGTTCGTGTATACCTTTGGTGCAAATTCGGGATACAAATTTTGGTGTAAGTGTAACATGGTCATTCCTTATGAACCATCTAAATGATATGGACCATGCTACACTTACACAAAAATTTGTACCCCATTTTTAAGTGTAGCATGGTCCATATCATTTTGGACTCGCTCGGCATGCTACACTTACACCAAAAATTGTACCTCATTTAATTTGTACACTGCAGTTATACACAAACATTTTGATGGTTTACACCGACACGAGTGTTAGTGCGTTAACAAAAATTTACACCGACACAAAATTTTGGTGCGTTAACAAAAATTAGTTTTACACCAACAAAAAATATTAGTGCAAATCTGCAGTGTACAAATGGGATATAAAAGATTTGGGCACAAATAGGTTTATGCATCATCATATCATATATCATCATCATATATCATATCATATCATCATCATATATCATATACTCCGTATCATATATATATATATATATATATATATATATATATATATATATATATATATATATATATATATATATATATATATATATATATATATATAAAGTTGAGTTTTTCAATTGTGGGGCTACCAAGTGTACTCCACATAGGATCCATGTGTGTAGGTTGTAAATGCCAGATCAGTTTTTTTTCTTCCGTTTCCACCGTTTCACTGCTCCCGTCCAAATCCCCAGACGCCCTTCCCTCTCTTCACTTGCTTCAGCCAGGTTTTCTTATTTTTGGAGATGAAATTGAGTTGCCATGGCCCTTCCCTCTCCTTCACTTTCTTTTCAGCCAAGTTTTTTTATTCTCAATGTTGGAGATTAAATCGAGTTGCCATGGCTGTGGTGCGGTCAGGCTTTGGTTAGCGGCTCCCTATCTTAGGAGGATCCCATTTCATGACTTCGTCTCTCCCACCGGCTATCTTGCCTCGATACGGCTTTAGGCTGCTCTCCTCCCCCCTCCTTCTTATCAGGTATGGCACACCAGCTGTTTGATTGTTTGTTTGCCCATAATATTGCCCTATAGCTTAGCTTTCATTTTTTAGTGGGTTGGTTTTGCGTTTTAAGTATGAACCCCTGATTGCTATTGAGGAAGAAAGGCACTAAGATGAGGATTGGGATGTTGAAATCATCATTGCAGAATTGAGTTTTTGTTAATAAACTCATGAGAGCACCATCGTTAGCCCATTGCATACACCCCCTTTTTTTGAGACATCACCCACATAGGCATTCTGAGTGTGCAGAAGCCCAAATGTATAACCGCTACTTCATCCGGAAGTCTATCGGTTAATCTAAAAAAAACCCAATCAATTCTCAATTCAAATCCTCCAAATCGAGCATCAATCTATCACTATAGCCGTCTTCCCCAGGGGGGTCTTTTAATGTTAGGCACCTCTTCCCCAATGAAAAACGGGTCTTCTAGAGAAGTATTCGTACGCAGGGATAGAAGCCAAGGGCCGATCCGTAGCATCTGTCATATGACAACAGAGAGGGACGAAACAGATAAAGGTCGAGAGCAGAGTTAGATCCCTAACAGCCCTTTCTTCTTTCTGTTTTTGATATTTAGGGATTTTAATGTAAAACCCATTGTTTACCATCATGATCGGTGCAAAAATATGCTTTTATCCTACTGAGTAATTTAATTTTCTTTTTGTTCCTCTTGGTTGGTGCGCCAGAGAGCAGACTTTGTATGGGGTAGATTTTTAAAAAGTAAGTATTAGTTATTATACGTTTTTAAATTTATACGTTTTTCCTCTTGGTTGGTGCAGACTTTTGTATGGAGCAGACTTTTAAAAACCAAGTGTTCGAAGTGTATGGAGCACATCGTATAAATTCTTACTTCTTAAAAGGTAAGAACCTCTTGGTTGGTGCGCCAGAGAGCACTTCATAAGTTTAATGNGCTATGACATTAACATATGAAACTTATATACTTAAATAAGTAAACAAAGGGCTAAGTTTCATGATAAGGTGTATTTTTACCATGTTACATATTGTTTTATGTTCTCAAGCTCCTTGAATTTTTCATGTATACTCGCTGATTTCTTTTCTAATATTGTTTTATGCTCTTAAGGTCTATTTTCTAATATCACAACTGAAAACGTGATAGACTAAATGAGAAAGACTATATTCAAGAAGTGCAAAGTTTGATGAATTATGTTTATAATTGCAAGTGGCTTATCCATTGAACTTAATACAAATGCAAATATGCTTTAATCCATCCAACCAACAAAGATCTGGTCCATATACAAAATGGCTGCCTAAAATGGGTTTAGTTGCTGCCATTCTTATTACTCCTTAACATTTAATTTTTCTTTAAAAAAACAAAACACGACTTACCTTATTAAACACCAGGCACACCATAATTATTTCAAGCTTGACATGGAGAGATGCAGATTTTGGTGCAATCGCCTTTTCCAAGCAAAAGATTCAGATGAGAGAGCAACATCTGATTATTTGGAAAAGATAATGTGAATGACAACGGGTTCTCAAATTATAGATCTCGATAGAAAGCCAAATGAGGTACTTAGTTGAGATTAATTTTTTTACTCAAGAAGTTCTTTTTGTTTCACTGATTATTTGAATTTCTTGGGAATTGATTTGTTTCAAATATGCCCTATAAGTTTGCATTTTTTAAATGGTTATCATAACATATATTGGATTATGGTTATATTTACCTGCCATGAGGGGTTTTATGAGGGTGGATTACAAGGCCTCCTACTCGAGGGTTGTCTTAGCTCCCTTGACCACCTATATATATATATGTGTGTGTGTGTGTGTGTGTGTGTGTGTGTTTTGTATATATGTATATATAATAAATGTTATATTATTTATTTTGTGTTAATTATATGATAATTAAAGTTGACAAAACAAATTGAAAGCTTCCTTAAAGTGCCATTTGAAATTTCTTAAGTAGAATAAGAATGATGTTTGATTTCCTTCCTAAACTCTAAAAGGTACATTTCTATTAGGAATAGGAATGAGGATTATACTCCTTATAAATAGGAGATCATCCCACCCCTTTTATACTACTAAGAATTTCGGCCTCCTCTCTTCTTTAAGAGACAAAATTTTGTTTTGCTCTCTTAATACTTTACACCAAATATTTTATATTTTGAAAATATTATAGAGAAAAATTACTAGCATAATTTTCTCTAGAACACTCTTCATTGTTCATGTGTCTCAACTGGAGGTCATATACTTTTGTGGCTAGCTCTTGGATCAGCCCATCAACCTACACATATCGTTGCATGCTCGCCAAGAAAGGTATATTTCTAAACAATAACTTATAATAATCATAAGAGATCCTGTCGTTTGGACAATAAAATTTTTGTTTTTTGCTGCTCTATCCAAGCGTAGAACCCAACAGGGTTGCCTCCTGTTAAGCGCTAATTTAACGTCATTATCTTGGCGCCATTATTTCTAAACTTGGTAAAACAAACACATCTAACGGAGCACTCTCCTCGAGAGTCTCTAACTTTTTCTGAATAATCGTCATAAGGTAGCGTAGACCTAGATATTTGTGAAGCCAAGGAAAATTGAAAATCCTATAAAAAGAACTGATCACCCCAAGCGTAAAAGATATTGTGATAAAGGTACACACTTGGGGATGCTTGACTTCATGAAATGTGGTTCAAAGAGACCCTCTTTTTGTGGAAAAATCTTTGGTAACTCAAGGTCTCTTTGAATGAGTTTTTCTAAGAGCATCTCCAACCATGTTAAAATGACTTGCTATATGCTACAATTTGACAAACTAAGTAAAATTTTATACTCCAAAGGGCTTGCTAATGTTTGACAAGCTTGCTTAAAAATGAAAATGGCTTGCTACTAATAACAAACTTGATAAAATATAGCAAGCCAAAAAGAAGAAGAAAAATGTTGGTTGGGTTAGTTTTTTCATGTGCCATGACGCATTTGTTCCCTCAATTTCAGTGCCACAACATAAGAAAAATTAATAAATATTATTTTATGTTTTTTACAAAAAATAATTTTATTTTTAACCAAAAAAATTATAAAATTTATTTTATTTTAATTTTAAATTGCATACTTGTAGAATATTAATTAATTTTTATTATAAATTTTAAAACTATACTCCCTTAATGAATAGTGAAATCAATACATTTTTGCTTAATTATAGCAAGCACAGGTTGGAGACGATCATGTAAAATGACTTGCTATACCACTATTCACATGTTAATAAATAACTTTAGCAAGCCATGTTTAGCATGTGTGATTGGAGATGCTCTATGGGACTCTCTTCAAGATATACATTCTGGTCAAATTCAACAAAGCCCCCTTAATGATCAATGCCCTCAAAATTTTGTAAAAATTCTGCCTCAAGTTCGCTTTGATGTTCTCCATTTCCCTCGTCGAGAGACGAACAAACAAGTCCTTGATCGTCTATTTTCTCTTCTAAACCTAATGGAGAAACATTAAAGTTTTCCTCAGGCATTACTTCATCCAACCCATTATTGTGATTTTCATTATTTACTCGAACAAGAATACCTTTATCGAGCAAGTTTTTCAATGTTTCTTGATATTCATCATCAAAATTAGCCCAAAGATTTTCTTGTTCGAGATAATATTCTTTTTCATCAAATTTCTCATCTTGAGGTGGTTGGCCTAAAGAAGGTGTTCCTTCTTGCACTATGTTTGATTCAACAATTTTATCCACCTGAATTTCCTCGTCCTCGATTCATCAGCTAACCATTCATTTTCATAAATTTTATTAGATTCATTAGGTTTGAATTCTAATAATTCATAGAGATTTCCCATTTCCTTAAGAATTTCTTCTTTTTCATTATTGAAAATCTTAAGATTAGAATCAGGATTTAGAGAAGAATATGGAAAAATATAACAAAGATAACCTTCTTCATTTACTAAACCCTTCTTCTTAAGAAATTCATCAAAATCAAGGTTAGTATATCTCTTTAATTCTATTTGCCCAATTAAATGTCTTATAATGCGATCCATGTCATTTTTTATTGATTTTAATTCATTACTAATCGCACCAAAATTAGTTATAGGGCAAAGTGAGGGATAAGGAGAGGAATAATTTCTTTGATGATCAAAGTTATTATAACTATCCTCCTGTTCATAATTATTTTCATTGAAAAATCTAGAGGAATTATTACAATAATTTTGATTATAAAAATCACAATAATTATTTTGAAAATTTGGTACATAATCAAAATTATTCACATTCCTCCCATGGTACTTATAATCATCAAAATACTCATTATTCATAGGAGAATTGTTAAGCCAATTGTTTTCAAAACCTTGATCGTTACCCAAGTTATCTTGACAATTTTATGAATAATCAAAATTACAATTATCATAATTATTCCACATATTATCATAAAATTGATATTCATTTTCAATCATAGGTGGATTTTCATAAATATTATTATCATATTGGTAATTTTCATTATAATGATTAAAAAAATTATTTTCACAATATGGGTATGGCGGGGGATCATTAAAATGAGAATTAGAATAATTTTTAAAACGATTCATAAAAATGTAAATAAAAAAACAAATAAAAAGAAATAGAACGAGTAGACTAAAAATTTTCTTAGAACGAGTAGACTAAAACAAATAAAAACAATTTCAGGAGTTAGGATTGGAACTCAGACTCAACACAATTTAACCCATCTTTTAATTGGCAATTATATTAATGAAACGTGTAGCACTTATGTCCAATATAACTTCTATTTCTAGGTCTCAATATAGAACACAAAATGCTAATCTTATATTTAATGCATCTCCTATTTCTAGGTCTCAGTAATAATTATAAGATTATCATATTTTTAGTAGATCTCCTATTTTTAGGTCTCAGTATTGGGCTAGAAAATATTCAGCTTAAATAATTCTAAATCCTCATAGTCAAGGCAAGAACTATTTTCCAATTATATAATTAATAAAATATTTAGTATTATTAATTAGTTAAACCCATTCCTAACAGTTATTTCTAACCCTTCCTATTTCTAGGTGTTCGGAAAGTGTGACTTAATTAATCTTATTACCTCAAAGACAAGATAAAAGATTAATTTCCAAGGATTAATTAATAATAAAAACATTTTATTAATTAATAAATATTAATTCATTTGCTAACGATTAATCCAATTACTAATAAATAGACGAAATTAAATTGATTAAATATTTATTCCGAATCTTAACCCATTTAAAATTACCAATTTATAATTTCAAACAAAACATTCAACATCATAATAATAACATATAAAATCCTAAAACACATATTAATCATTAACAAAGTAATATTTTATTGATAAAAAGTTTAATAGAAATTACAATAAAAAGAAAAGAAAAATATATAGTGCTTCAAGGATGGGAGAATTAACTTGGAATGATAAAATTTAACCAACACAAATTTAGTATAAAATTTAAGAGTAAACGAAGGAATTTTTAGTGTTTACCCCTAAAAAGGGGAAAAACCGAATTGAAATTGCTTGGGAATAGGGAAGAACCGCCGGAATTTATAGGAGAGAGGAGGACCGACCGGTGGGGAGGCCGGCAACTGATGGGCAGGCCGGCGGCCGTCGGTCAGGCCGCCACCGCCGCGGTTGATTTCCAGAAGAGACTCGCCACTTCTAGCCGCTGTCGATAGGCGGGAGACGGTCGCCTGCCAGCCCGCCGGCACTCCTCTAGCTCGCCAGAATTGCTACTTGCCGCTGCCACCAACCTGACCGGCGGCCAGGTAGGCTGCCGCCTGCCAGACCGCCTACTGTGTTGCTCCGGTACCCTCCTTAAAATTTTGTTCTGAACACTTTTTTCCTTCTGCACCGACTTCGAATTCTAATTCTGCATGGTTTGTGAGATAGAATTATTTTTCTATTAAAAATTTACTCTTTTCACTCCATTCTTGGCCCAATTTTATATATTAATTCAAAGACATTCTTTTTATGGTCAATTTATTATAACATATATTTTTGATGAAAAATAATACTCCCTCCGTCCTAAAACTTTTTTCTCAGTTTGACTTTTCCCTATTTTTAATATTTTGTTTTGACTTCAAATTTTACCCTCCTTGAAAAAGTTTTTTTGAATTTTTTTGCAATCATTCAAAATATAGAGTTAGAAGATAATTGATGTAAATACATGAGAGTATTAATGTCATTTGTCATCTTTTTTTTCTTTTAATGGGAAGGTAGTTTTAGGATAGAGAAAAAGGGGAAGTTGGAAGAAAGTTTTAGGACGGAGGGAGTAAAGAATTTATTGTTTTGATAACAAAAATGGTACAAGAACGAATTAAATATGAGTAAAAAAGTAAGTATGAAACGGACTTATCAATCATAATAAAGAATTTATTGTTTTGATAACAAAAATGGTACAAGAACGAATTAAATATGGGTAAAAAGATAAGTACAAAACGGACTTATCAGCTACCGTGAAAAAAAGTGAGAATTTAAAATTGAGTAAATTTCCAAAATGTTCCTTTGTAATAAGGTGTTTTCTCAATTCAGTCATCAATAAGTTTAAATTACTAACATGATCCTCTGTAGTTGAAATTTTTTCCCTAGATAGTCGTTTGTAAATAATGTTACTCAAATAATAATTAATTGAAGAGTATTTTGGTATTTTTATCATCTAAATTTAAAATATATTTTCGAAACGGTCATTTCTGTATTATTAAATGTAAAATTAAAAAAATAAATTGACTATTAACAATTCATGAATTATTAAAAACTTATAAAAAATCTTTTAAATTTCAAATCAAACACACATCTTTAATTAGAAAAATCATTTTGGGAAAGTACTTATTATATATGATCATTTTAAGAACTTATTTTAAATTTAGCAAATAAAAAAATTAAAATATCCCAATTAATTATCATTTGAGTAACATTATTTACGAAGTATATTTTGAGAATAAATCTCAATTATAGAAAACTACGTAGGTAATTTAAACTTATTAAGGACTGATTTGAAAAAACACCTTATTACAAAGTACCATTTTGAGAATTTACTTTGTACTCCCTCCGTTCCCCTGTATTTGTCCACATTTGACTTTTGGCACTGTTCATCTAAGCACTTTGACTCATCAAATTTTCTCAATGAGTAAGCCTAAATATAGTCATGTGTGATCTTGTTTGATTTGTCTTAACATATAGATTATTAATATATAATTTTTATAATTTTTTAATATACAAATTACAAGATAAAATGGATTAAAGAAGTGAATTGGATGGTGTGTAAAAATGAAAGTGGACAAATAGAGGGGACTAGGGAGTAGAATTTTGCGGCTAATGTTAGATTGTGTGTACCTTGTACGTGTATAAAAATTTGTATTACGTCCAGTCAGGGCGTCCCCGCAACCTGCGTTCTCAGTGTATATGCTGCAGCTCGTTTCAGGAAAGCATGCTTCGTTGCTCCTTCTCCACAACATTGAAGCTAACAACCCAAATGCACAATGCATGCTGTTCCTACCGGCCATTTGCTCTCAGCTCCTTTTTTTTGATTAAGAATTCTTAAAATCTCTTATTTTATCTGTAGAGGTTTTTGAATCTGCCCCAACAATATCAGAAACCCAGAAATTTTCTCTCCAGATCTAAAATCTCATTTGAAATACTCCAAAAATATCACAAGTTAAGAGGGCGAAAGGACTAAGATTATATTTCAAAGAAAGTACTGAACTTTCTTCAGAAAAAGGGAGTAGATTGTTTTAAGTGTTTGGCAGCCCCACTGCTTTTAGTTGAAGAATGACCATGAAAGTGACCCAGAGACATAAAGATTCGGAAAATTCATTGTGGGAAGAGATGCGAAATTCTGCAGGCACTCATCTCCGAGTTTCCAGTTGGCAAAGTCGACCCTTGACCAGATTCATTGTCTGGTTCCTCCTCTTTATCTCCGTCACCTACGTGGTCTACTCCTTAAAGCTTCTTTCCCCCTCTGGGATCTGCAAGGATGACGACGTTTTCATCATTGGACGCAGCAGAGGCCTTCCGACCGAATCTGAAATTAACTCTACTACTACCGCGGCGGCGGCATTAGCATTGGGAGAAACCGGCCGGATTCGAGAAGAAGTGGAGAAAACTGGTGTAGAGCATGTGGTCTTCGGCATTGCGGCGTCGGCAAAGCTTTGGGAGTCGAGGAAAAACTACATAAAGTTGTGGTGGAAGCCGGACGGGAAAATGAGAGGAGTGGTCTGGCTGGACAAGGCAGTGAATATGTCGGCAAGAGAAAACGGGTCCCTCCCGGAATTGAGAATTTCCGGCAATACATCCCATTTCCCTTACAGCAACCCGCAGGGCCACCGGTCTGCCATCCGAATTTCAAGAATTGTTTCTGAGACGTTCCGGCTCGGGATGGAGAACGTGCGGTGGTTCGTGATGGGTGATGACGATACCATTTTTGTTACAGAAAATTTGGTGAGAGTTCTCAACAAATATGATCACAACCATTTCTACTACATCGGGAGTTTGAGTGAGAGCCATTTGCAGAATATTTACTTTTCATACAGCATGGCTTTCGGCGGCGGCGGTTTTGCTATAAGTTACCCTTTAGCTGAGGCTCTTGAGAAAATGCAAGATAGATGCATTCAGAGATACCCTGGCCTTTATGGCTCTGATGATCGAATGCAGGCTTGTATGGCAGAGCTCGGCATTCCCCTCACCCGTGAACTTGGTTTCCACCAGGTGATCTCTTTCTTGCACTCTTTCTCTCATTTAATTCCAAACATTCGCTTCTTAAAGTATATATGCTTGCAGGCTGTGTTTTCTTTCTCTAATCTGTTGATTTGGGGTCAGTTGTTTAATTAGCTGGGTTGTACTATATGGAAAATAGTGCAACTTGAATTGCCTTAATTTGAAATGCCCTATCAAGTCCTCTATCAATTTGATCCTGAGTAGTGTATTGTTAGATAGCTTGAAGTAGTTAGTTATAGAGGCTCAGTTTCTTAGCTGTGTGGATTAACCTGCATTTGGGTATGGCATTAATGATATTGTTATTTTAATTTGGGATCTAACTGACGTTCTTCAATTCCTTCCCGGTCGTGGCATATATAATCAGTTTGATGTATATGGGGACTTGTTTGGGCTCCTATCAGCACATCCTGTGGCACCATTGGTTTCTATGCACCATCTTGATGTGGTGGAACCAATATTTCCAAACGTCACTCGAGTCGAAGCTCTCAAAAGGCTAATGCTTCCAATGAAACTGGATTCGGCAGGTTTGATCCAACAATCCATTTGCTACGACAAGGCGAAGAGCTGGACAGTTTCGGTCTCCTGGGGCTTTGCTGTCCAAATCTTCCGCGGAGTGCTATCCCCTAGGGAAGTAGAAATGCCATCCAGAACTTTCTTAAACTGGTACAGGAGGGCAGATTACACAGCCTATTCTTTCAACACAAGGCCTGTCATGAGGAACCATTGCCAGAAGTCTTTCGTTTTCTACTTGTCAAGTGCAGAAGTGGACTCTTTTTCTAATGAAACAGTGAGCAAGTACATTCGCCACCCACTCCCCCGTCCTCTGTGCAAGTGGAAGATGGCCAATCCTGATGATATTGAGATGGTTGAGGTTTATATGAAGCCCGACTCACATTTATGGGACAGGGTAAAAATCTCTCGCTCTGTTCTCATTTATATTCGTCAATGCTTTACTATCCTTACTTTGGGGGACTCGCTAGGTTTAGTACTGGCGGCTTGCTAGTTTTAGCAAGCCAATCTCATTTTTTGGCAAGCTTAATTAGCTTTAGTAATGGGAATGGTTAGAGATGCTCTTACCACTGTAAAAATCTTCCCTTTAATTCTTCATTTTTTCAAGAATATTAATTTCGGATTGGTAACCCTCTCCACTCTCATTTGTACGGAGTAGTATCTATTGCTAAAACATTAGAAGTAAAACTTTTAATGGACATCCAAAGAAAAGTATGAGCTTTATGTTGAATTGGTTCCTGTTCAGTATTTATAAACAAGAAATAGTTTTGCTAAAAAAACGCTGGAATCTTCTCTTTTAAAAAGTATCAATCCATGTATCTTCCTGCTTCCCATGATTAAATGATGTAAACACACATTTAGACAGCAAATCAATTAATGGATTTATAATTGGGTGACTGTGAAATGTATCTAAGATTTTAACTGAAGTTTCTTTATTATTTAAATCTTGCTTTGATGCAGTCTCCAAGGAGGAATTGCTGCAGGGTGTTGCACTCAGGTCAGAAAAGTATGGTGGTGAATGTTGGGGTATGTAGGTATGGTGAGGTCAGTGAGATATAATTTTACTTCTCTCGTCTCTTCCGAGTCTCTATATCTTCGTTTGTCAAGCCCGACTCTCCACGGAATTGAATTTTCTTGGGTATTTGACAACCTAACCGCATGCCATCAGAGGGGTGGGTGAGAGAGTACGTCTTTTGGTAGATACGCTTTTTGTGTATAATTTATTGCGTATACGGTGTTGATTTAATATGGTTCCTTGTGCTATATTATAGTGTGGCACATTCTCCTCCCTCCCCCTAATTTTCTTCATGATTTGATTCACCGTTTTTTATTAAATAAAATATGTATTATTGAGGTTTGTGTAAAAATATAAAAAGATACCTGAGTAAATGATTAGAACCATATTTTTCTAGTGTTTTTTGTATCATTGATTATTTTATGCAATTCAATTAACATAGATAGAACGAGAAGTTTAAAAAATGTTAGCAAACGAGGAGTGAATGTTTTTTCAACCATATTACAAATTCTACAACTAGAGTCTCGGAGCGCAAGCCCACTGCAGTGGGGTCCAAGGTGTAGAGTCCTTGGTTGTGGTCTCAAATGGGAAATCTTCTTTTTTTTGGATATTTTTGCATCTTGAAAATCCTTGAGATGTTCTCCAACGAAATCTAAAGTGATATACATTCCAATGTATAAAATAATAGATTCGAATGAATTGTAATCATCAGCTTTCTCTAATGAAAAGGCATGTAAAATTCAAATGTTTAATATATATATATATATATATATATATATATATATATATATATATATATATATATATATATATATATATATATATATATATATAG